AGAAGCAATGGTGTTCCAAAGAGTGAACTCTAGTGTTCAAGGACTCAATCTTAGAGTTCATCTCAGCCAACTTCTTGCTTGTGTCCATAGCACCATCAGCTTGACCTTGTAAGAGCTGCTTCAACATGGCTTTTATTTCTTGTTCCTTGACTTGGTGCAGACCTGAGGCGCTTGAGGTGCATACCCAGTTGGTACACTCTGCTGTTGTCCTTGATAATTTCCCTGATGGCCCTGGAAATTCCCTTTCTGACCATATCCTTGCTGTGGAGGCTGACTCGCTGGAGCCTGTTGCTGCGGAGGGTAGACTTGATCTTGAGGATTGGCAACATCAGTGTTACTGTAGGACATGGTAGGGTGTGACTTGTAGCCATAGTAACCGTTTTGATAACCTCCTTGTCCATTCTTAATGTAGCACACTTCAGCAAACTGATTCTCCTCCTCTTCTTGGCCTTGAACCATCTCTTCTTTAGAAACAAAGTTGGCCTTCTTCATTGTGGATTGAGCTAAGATAAGCGTATCCAACTTCTCATTGAGCCTTGACATCGTTTCTCAGCTTACTATCAGACTCGATCGAGTTGGAGGTCGAGCTCGTTTGTGCGATCATACTCCTCTCCATAGCTCCCACTTGAGTTAGCAATGTTCTCCACAAGCTGCCAGCCATCATCTACATCTTGATTGAGGAAGTTTCCATTACTGGCTGTGTCCAACATCTCTTTGTATCTTGGCAAAACTCCTCTGTAAAGTGTGGAAAGCAAAGACTCATTGCTGAAGCCATGATGAGGGCATTGACTGGTGTAACCCTTGAATCTCTCCCAAGCTTCAGCAAATGTCTCATTGTTCCTTTGAGTGAAACCAGATATCTCGCTTCTCAGCTTAGCAGTGCGACCAGTAGAGAAGAACTTGGCAAGAAATGCCTTCTTGCAATCCTCCCATGTAGTGATTGATCCATGGGGTAAACTCTTCTCCCATTGATGGGCCTTGTCACCAAGAGACATAGGGAAGAGTCTCAGCTTGATGGCATCTTCAGAGACACCATTCATCTTGGTCAGATCACACAGCCTATCAAACTCATCCAAGTGATCAATGGGATCTTCACAAGACAATCCATGGAACATCTTGTTCTGGACTAAGGTAATCATCCCCAGCTTGATCTCGAAATTGTGGTTCTGGACAGGAGGTGGGACAATCCCTCTTCTTTGCTGGTGGCGGTTTGGTGCATCTCCAAGCCCAATCGGTCGAGTCTGCCTAGCTCGACCATTTCCATTACCCAGAGGGTTTCCATTACCCTCTGGTATATCCATAGTATCTGTAACAAGCACCTCTGACTGAACTTGTTGCCTCTGGCTCTTCTTTCTCTGTTTTCTGCCTATGTTGATGTCTAACTCGACCAAGTTCTCTGTTGATGAGCTCGATCGAGTTCACATACACCTGCAAAACAGTCAAAAACCCAGCAGTACAAGCAACAAAGGTGGGATAGTACTTGATCGTTCAAGTGATTTGGAAACTCAAATGCAACAGTAACAAACCCAAATGGCAACGGCGCCAAATTGATGATAGGATTTTACGTGGATGAAGTGAATGAAGGATGATATGAAATGAGGTGGAATGCAAACAGGGGTGAAAGATGAGTGGTAAGATGCAAACACAAACACAGTCAACAATTCCCTTTAACCATCATAGTTTGAAGTATAAAGGGTTATCAATCCATAAGGGTGAGATGTTGCTCTATGAGAATATGCAAACACAAGAAAGTCAAGCCAAATGATTAAAAGGAGGGATGTAACAACTAAACAACCTAATATAAGAAATGCAATGCAGAAAGTAAAAGAAAGCAGCAAATGCAAGAAATTAACAAGAACAAGCAGATACAAGAGAGCTCGACCAAGAGCTCGATCGAGTTGATGAGCTCGACCAAGAGCTCGATCGAGTTGATGACTCGATCGAGTTGAGGGTCGAGTTGGTGAGCTCGATCGAGTTGAGGGTCGAGTTGGTGTAAAAACAGAGGAAATGCAATGAAAAGCGATAAAGGTGCAAACTTTAAGATGCTAATGCGAATATTAGGGTTAAAGACAGGGTTTTGCAGCTAAAGGGAGGCTATACTTAATCAGTCTTGCTCTTAAACAACTTGTACTCAAGCTATCTCTTGATATTGAGCTTCTCAATGCCTAGCTAACCCTTTCCCAAGGTGAAAGCTATCAACCAAGACTTGATCTCAGAAACAGGGGGTTAGCCAGTGAGAATCAAGCCTTGGAGGCCATAGTTTGGATTGTATCCCTTGTTCCCATAGTTTCCAATGTAGTTCACATCTTCTTCATTGGCTTCATTAGAGAAATCTCCCATGCATTCTCTTGATGAATCTTCATTAGCATCACTCATCCCTTCTATTGCATTGATATGCTTGAGCTGTCCCTTAAGAACTTGAGCCATCATGTTCTTGAGTTCAGTCATTTGAAAAGAATCAGGGGAGCTAGTAGTGGTGCGGCTTGAGCGGTCATAATCAGGACAGTTGTTACAATCACTAGCTGCAAGATTCTCAATAAGAACCTTAGCTTCATCAACAGTCTTGGTCATGAAGTTTCCATTGCTTGCAGTGTCCAATGAAAGCTTGTACTTGTGGTCTATGCCACGATAGAAGATGTTCCATAGGTTTCCCTCATTGAAACCATGATTAGGGCAGTCCCTAATGTACTCCTTGAATCGATCTAGCGCCTCATAGAAAGATTCATTGTTGCCTTGGCGAAAGTTGGAGATCTTGTTCCTTACAGAAATTGATCTCTGTTGGTGTAGAAGTGGTTGATGAATGCAGCCTTGTACTCATCCCAAGTGGTGATGGAGTGAGCTGGCAGAGACTTCAACCATCTTGAAGCTTTGTCGCCAAGAGAGAATGAAAAGAGCTTGCACTTAAGGTAGTCAGCAGAGACTCCATTGGATCTTGTAGTGCTGCAAATTTCTTCAAAGTTTTCTATGTGATCAAGAGGGTGCTCAGCTGGAAGTCCATTGAATTGGTTCTGTCTAACCAATGCAATGATCTGAGGCTTGATCTCATAGTCATTCCTTGCAGGAAGTGGTGGATGGATAGGGTTTCTATCCATGAAGAAAGCATCGGCAGAGTCATAGTCTCCGATTGTAGGTGCTCCGCTTGGGGTTGTGCGTTCACATCTCCAGCAGGGTCTTGTGGATTAGGAGGAGGAGGTGGATCTCTTCCTTCTTCTTGAGCGCGCGCCACTTCAGCGGCGTGAGCGCGAGCTGCTTCGTCGGCCATCTCTTGGGCTTTTGCTTCCTAAGTTGCTTCTCAAGCTTGTCTATCTCTGGATGTTCAACTAGGTTGTCCTTGTTGGACCTCCTAGTCATGCACCTGAAAAGAGTCTTGGAAACAAGTTAAATCAAAAGGGAAAAACAAAAACAAAAGCAAAAATCAAAGAAAAGGAAATCAAAAACTAAAAATTCAAAAGCAAAAGAAAAGCAAAACAGGAAAAGGTTCTAGACTAGATCCTAGTCGAGTTCCAAAGGTACTGCTGCAGTCCCCGGCAACGGCGCCAAAAACTTGATGCGGAGTCAGGTTTTACCAAACTCCTAGACCTCTGCAAGTGCACAGATCGCGGAAGTATGGGTATCGAACACAAGGACTGGCTATTGAGTACACTTTGAAACTATGGATTTTGGATCAAGCTAAAACAAAAGTATGATTGAGGTTGTAATGGTGAACCGAACTAGCAAGTATAACGAGGTTGTAAACAATAAAGGAAAAGCGCTAGGTCATAGGGGCTATCGCAGAGAAGCAAGCAATGATCAATGAAACAATGATAGATGAATTGATTAGGGATATTGGGATATTAAGAACCATCTAGAACACAGATCAGAATATAAAACAGATCACGAATAGCAAACACCTTGGATCGATCTACAACCGGCTACAAGCTCTTGAAGGATCATCTTACTCCAAGTACAACAGAGAGAGGAGTCCAACACCCAACCACCCTCCCTTTCATTGTAATGCCATCATAAGAAAAAGCAACAACCGCCAAGTTCATGAAAACCGTGAAGAAGAAGAAGAAAGAGAGTATGAGGAACAATCACTTGATGAAGATGAAGAGCAGAGCATCGACATCAATGCTTCTCCAAAACAGAGCAAGGATACACCTAGCCCTATTGATCCTCGTTTCTCACCACCACCAAGAAGTCAAGCTTCTGAACTTCCAAGATTGGAAGTAATGCAAAGACCACCACCACCTACTGAAGAAGAAGATACTTGGCAATATGATCCCATTGATCCCAACAAGATAAGCCCCATGAAGCTTAATGAATTCAATGCTAAGGTGAAGTCATTACCATTCTATGTCACTTTTCTTTTAAGAACTTCCTAGGGAGAGGCTTCTTGAGGTAACATCTAGCGGTTTGGGATTTTCTAAACACTTATCACTTAGGGAACTTTTCTTCCTTTTTGGACACTTGAGGCTTTGCCTTCTTTTCATTCTACTTAGAACCCTTTTTACTTTCCTTTTTTAACTTCCCAAACCTTTACTAGACCCTTTTAAACACTGCCAACTCCCTGGACTTAACCAAACTCTTTTACTTTGGGTTTTTCCCAACTTTTACCACTTTTCTGGTTTTTACACCCAACTCGATCGAGCTCGAGTTGGCACCCCCAAACTTAGCCTGAAAACAATCCCAAGAGAACTAGACAACTAGAACTACTGCCCCTGCCGGTTTAAACACAACACCTTATGCTAAGCAAAGCCAAGAAAGGTTCTCACATTCGCACAAGAGATAATAAGGGGTTTGAAATGAAAAGGCTTAGGTTTAAGGTGTGGTAACTGTCTCAAGGATAGAGATCAGCTATCTGGACAAGCAAAAGGGATATGAAAATGGTAAAGAATGTCCAGATATGTATGTGGTAGCCATGAGTTGAAATCAAATGCAAGCATTGGTAATTAAAGATCAAGTTATGGTTCAAATAGATAGGGAAATGCATCAAATCACAGCAATGGTTGAATGAGATGTGCATGCAGTGATATGATCAAGATAAACATGGTTCTTGCTGCTCAATCAATCTCACCCTAATGCACAAAAGAATCTAAAAACAGGGCACTCAAGAAATCGCAAAAGATGGACAAGTTTTCAAAGTCAAATCAACAATGCAAGTGAAAAATGCAATCCTAAACAAGTCTAACAAATATGAATGCAAAAAGATGAAAATATTTTTGGATTTTTTGAAAATTTTATGATTTTTTTGGTTTTTCTATGCAAAAGATAAATGAAAAACTAAGAACAAAGAAAACAAGGTTAAATCATCTCTTGAACCCTCCCCCAAACTTAAATCACACAGTCCCTTGTGTGAGAAAAATTCAGTGAAAGATTCAAGAGGGCAAAACCAAGAAAAAACAAGAACAAAGACAAGAAAATATGAAATGGTATATACAAGGGTTGGTGTTTGGATACCTCAGTGTCCCCCAAAGAACTGGGAGACTAGGTCGTGGTCTGGAGATGGGAGACGGCCATCAGGAGCACTCCACTGCAACTGGGTTGCTCTTGGCTCACTCGATCGAGCTTGTGGCTCCTCTTCCTCCTCTTCTTCATCTCAAAGTGGGTGTGGCTTCCTTGGCCTTGGTGGAGCATTGGCTAGCTCGACTGTAGGGGTCCATCTACTGGGGAAGTCCTGGTACTGGGATCGTATTCAAATCCCGGATCTCAAACTGGGGCTCCTCCAGGTCAACTCGACCGTCAGCTCGATCGAGTTGAGTTTCCTCTGTTTGGACTCGATCGAGTCCGGTGGTCGAGCTGGAGCGTCTGGCCTTGGAAGTCTTCCTCCTTCTCTGCGTGTTGTCTTCTCCTTCCCTTGGCTCGAAAGAAGAGGCTCTGTGAGGCTCTTGGGCAGGGAGCCTCCTTTGAGTGGTGAGGAGTGATCTACTCCTAGGGAATGTGGGGGCCTTGGACTTCTTCTTGCTTGAAGAACCAGAAACCTTCTTCTCCAAACTTTTGATCTTGCTCACCATCTTGTCCATGGACTTTTGCATCTTCTCAATGGCTTTCCCTTGCCATTTGTTGAACTTTTGGAGAAGTCCAATCCTCTTGTGGCAGCCACAACAGAGGGGTTCATCCTTGGAGCCTCATACTCCTCAAAGTAGTAGCACTCAGGCTCACCCAAATCCGCACTCTCCTGCCTCACTCATCTCAGCTGACTCAGCTCGATCCTCAGCTCGATCGAGCTCAGGCTCCTCTTCTCGCAAATCCGCTTCATGCCCAACTAATGTGTACACAGGGGGTCTGAAGTCAATGTTCTCACCTCCTAGACCGTGGTGAGCTCAGGGTTGGGCAGGAGAAGCTTGGAGAGTCCAGCCAATGGGTGTGAACTTGAATTGGAATCTCCCATCCAACTCCTTGTGCTCAATGAGGAGGTTGGTCTTGCAAAACTTGATGTCCATCCAACCTGGTGGAGTAGACCTTCTCTTGTCCAGTTGAACTCCAGCTGCACAAAGATAGGTGTGATCACCCTCCAACACTAAGCTTTCTTCCTCTTTGGTGCCTAGTGTTGTAAGCTGTGACTTGTAGGTTGGAGCTGCTCAAGGAGAGGCATGAGTTCCCTGCGTGTGCCCTATCTCCTCTGATCTTCTTCCCATCCTTGTGCGTGAGATGATAGGGCTTGATTCCCATGTCAAGGAGCTTCACTTCTCCCTCATTGATTGTCCCAGTGGCTTTCCTTGCAAAGAAGGTGTTGGCAAGAGCCTTGTGCACATATCTAAGCACTGGGCTCCTGATCTGAGCAGCCTTGGACCTTGAGGAAGAGTACCCCTCAGCGATTGTAGCCCAAACTCTTTGGAGTTCTTCTTCCTTGATGTTCCACTTGGTTACCTTCTCCATAGTGAACCCAAACAGATCTCCAAGCTGCCTAAAGGTCACCATCTTCTTCTCTCCCTTAGCCAAGAACGTGATCCCCCAATCCTTGGTCCAACTCAGCTCGATCGAGCTCATCAAACTGTGACCTCATTGAAGCCAAAAACTCACAAGTGAGCTCCTTGTAAGACTCCATGCGGTGAGAGAAGAACTTGGCCAATGCATGTTCTTGAGCACCAACTCCACATCCTCAAAGATCCAAGGGCCTCATGGTGTCATCATGTGGGTACTTGGTCTCCACAAAGTCCATGGAGAAGAGAGCATTGTAGTGCTCTTGGTACATGGGGAGCTCATCCTCCTCTTGCTCTTCCTCAGCCTCTTCCATGGCTCATCTTGGTTCCCTCTTGTCATCTTCATCAACCAATTGGTTCACCTCTTCTCCTTCCTCTTCACTCTCAGTTCCTCACTCCTTCTTCATTTGGAGAGCCATTTCCCCCTCTTGAACAAGGTTCACTCCAATCTCAAACTCCCCTTGCTCACTCTCACTACTATAGGGTCATTCCTCTTCTTGGTTCTCCTTTCTTCCCTCACCTCTCACTCTCAGACTGTCCTCAGAGTAGACATATCCTCTGCATCAGATTCTTCCATCCTCTGATCCATCCTCTCCAAATCGGCTTGCATCTTAAGCCTTCTCTCTTGCATTGCTTGATCACCCTCAACCATTCTCCTCTGTGAAGCGGCTTCCCTCACTGTTTGTCATCCTTGTTACTCTGTTTCTTCACTAAAGTACCTGAAATGCATCAAAGATTACAAAGAATTAGAGTTGTAATGATCGGTTTGGTCAACTCGACACTCAGCTCGATCGAGTCAAAAAACTCGAGTGACAAACTCGATCGAGTTGGGTGAAAACAGAGTATAACCAAACCTAATTCAAGTATTAAGAGCTGGAAAGGATGCTAATCAATCAAATTGAACCAAGAACAACTAGTAAATGGAACAATAGCAATTCTAGTGAAAACATAGCACCTTAACCATACCAAACTCAAATTCAATTTCAAGCACATGCAACAAGTTTAAAGGCAAAACAGAGGTGAGGTGAAACAAATAACAAGATTATACAGCAGAGGCGAAATATGAGCAATTACTCAAGAACAAGTCCACAAGGGACACATGCAATCAAAAATCAAAGGAAACAAGCAATAGGAAATCGAGATGGATGAATCAAGGGTTTTAGGGTTCATACCTTGTTGAATGATGATTGAAGAGCAGTAAACAAAATAAGCAAAACAAGAGAAGAACAATGAAATCGCAAAAACTTGAGAGAAAAGATTGAAAATCGATTTTCTTGTGGTGATGAGAGAGAGAGAGAGTTTCAGAAATGAGTGTGGGAGAGAGAAGTGGATTCGATCGAGTTATGGGGAAGAGAGTGTTTGAGATGTGTGGTTGAGATTAAAAGATGAAATAAAGAGGGAACAAGAAACTAGGGATTCTCTGATCAAATTAGGGTAGTGGGGGACCAAAATCAGCTTGTGGGACCCACTCCCTTGACCAAGAAAACGGTTATGAATTTGAAATTCAAAAACTTACCTCGGTCGAGTTGTGGAACTCGATCGAGTTGCCCTGGTTTCTAGCTCGATCGAGCTGTCGGTCGAGCTGGCTCCTTGACACCTAAACTTAACTTATTCAAAGGTTAAAACATAAAGATAGATAGAAATTGCATAAATAGAGTATGTACAAGGATAAACATGGGACTTCCTCCCAAGTGAGCTTGTTTAAGGTCCCATAGCTTGACCTTTACCTTCTTAGGCATTGGTTGAGCTAGTCCCACCATCAAGGGTGATAGTGAGGACTTGAGACAGAAGCTCCTTTAGCTTGGTTGGGTCCCTGGACTGTTCTGAAGTCACCAAGGCCTTGGCTCTAGAGAATGGCCTTGATCTCCCCTTGTACCTTATCTTGTACTCAATCTTCCCATTTTCAAACTTGGTGGGGAACAAAGTCATTGTGAGCTGAGATGGCTTGACTGAAGGGGCCTGAGCTGGTGGATCCTTTCTTTTATCTCCTGGTCTTGCCTTAGAGGCTGCATCCTCCCCTTCTTTTAGAGCCCTTCCTAGTGGCTCATCAAACAAAGCTTGAAGGCTCTCTTCATCAAGCACACAAGGGGCTTGAACAAGTCTCTCAGCTCTTGGCCTATCAGATCGTGGTTTCTCAACTCTAGCCCTCTCAAGACGTGGCTTCTCAATCCTTGGTCCTCTCTCATCCTTATCCTTCCCAACTCTTGGTTCCTTGTCAACCCTTTCCTTCACAACCTTTGTAGCTCCATGACTCTTAGAACTGAGATTGGTACTGTCAATTGTGGCACAAAAGTCTGAACCTCTAGGCTGCAAGCGATATGACACCAAACTATTCACCTTGTGAAGGATCACTTCTTGCTTGTGAAAGTCTATTGAAGCGCCAACTGTACTAAGGAAAGGGGTTCCCAATAACAAGGCAAATCCTTCTCTTCTTCCATTTCCATCACAGTGAGATCAGTTTGGATGATGCATTCTCCAATTTTCAAGTGATAGTTCTTGAACACTCCAAGAGGAGACTTAGAAGTTGCATCTCCAAACATGATTGAAGTAGTAGGGCGCTGCAAGGCTCCAGCTATGCCTAGCTTCTCTGCCATGGAGAGAGAGATCAGATTGATGCTTGCTCCAGAATCCACTAAGGCATTGTCAATCTCAAGATGCCCAAGTGTGCAAGGGAGAGTGAATTTCCCTTGATCCTTGACCTTTGGTAGGAAGGTGGGTGAAGTAAGCAGGTTGAACTGATGAGTAGACTCTTGTAGGACCTCTGAAACTTTATCACTGTTGGCTAGAACATCCTTGACCATTTGCATTTGATCAAATGCCTCACTCATGCTATCCATAGAGGCAACTCAATTCCAATCCCACTGAGATCTCTTCTGAACTTGTGAATCACTTCCTTGTGACCTTGACTAAGTAGGCGAGACGAGGAAGCGGCAACCGGTTGATAAGGATCAAGCAAAACAGGCTGTCGGACAGAAGAGGTCGGACTCGATCGAGCTAGAGTTGGACTCGATCGAGCTGCCGATCGAGCTTGTCGTGCGAGCTCAACTGGTGAAGTGTGAATGGCCACAGTAGGTGCATGCACTTCTGGTTGATCAATCTGGACTCCAGGAGCCTCAGCAGCAACAATCTCTTCATCATTCAGCAGTAAACAAAAATCTTCAATGACCCTTTCTTGATCCTCTTCTTCAACAAGTCCTTCTTGAGTGAAGATGACCTTGCACTGTTCCTTGGGGTTCTGAATAGCTTTACCAGGTAGTTGTCCTTGCTTTGTAGCAGCAGCAACAGAAGAAGCATGATTCTCCAGAGAGTAAACCCTTGTGTTGAGGTTCTCGATCTTAGAGTTTATTTCAGCTAGCTTCTTGCTTGTGTCCACTACCCCATCAGCTTGCCCTTGAAGTAGTTGCTTTAGCATTGCTTTGAGCTCATTCTCTTGTGAAGGTGCAGGCTGGGGCGGTTGGTGGGGGAAGCCTGGTGGGATATTCATTTGTTGTCCAGGGAAAGTGCCTTGTGGTCCTTGGTAATTGTTCTTTTGACCATACCCATGTTGTGGCACCTGACTCGATCGAGCTGCTTGTTGTTGAGGATATACTTGGTCCTGAGGGTTAGCAACATCAGTGTTGCGGTATGACATGGCAGGGTTGGACTTGTAATTATAGTATCCTTTGTTGTAACCTCCTTGCCCATTGCTCATGTAGCACACCTCAGCAAATTGTGTATCCTCCCCTTCTTGGACTGGTTCCATCTCCTCAGCAGACACAAAGTTGACTTTCTTCATTGTGGACTGAGCTAGGATCAGCTTATCCAACTTCTCATTCAATGCCTTAACATCTTTTCTCAACTTTTCGTCTGACTCGATCGAGTGGTGGGTCGAGCTCCGGTTGGTGCGATCATACTCTTCTCCATAGCTTCCATTTGAGTTAGCTATGTTCTCCACAAGTTGCCAGCCATCATCTACATCCTGGTTGAGGAAGTTCCCATTGCTAGCTGTGTCTAGCATCTCCCTATACCTAGGCAAGCATCCTCTATAAAGAGTGGAGAGTAGGATTCATTGTTGAATCCATGGTGTGGGCACTGACTTGTGTAGCCTTTGAACCTCTCCCAAGCCTCTGCGAATGTCTCATTGTTTCGCTGGATGAAGCTGGATATCTCTCCTCTAAGCTTGGCTGTGCGACCGGTGGAGAAAAACTTAGCAAGAAAGGCCTTCTTGCATTCATCCCAAGTGGTGATTGTGCCATGGGGCAAGCTCTTCTCCCATTGGTGAGCTTTGTCAGCTAGAGACATAGGAAAGAGTCTCAGCTTGATGGCATCTTCAGAGACACCATTGATCTTTGTCAAATCACAAAGCCTATCAAACTCATCAAGGTGGTCAATGGGGTCTTCACTTGGCAATCCATGGAACATCTTGTTCTGGACAAGGTTGATCATTCCCAGCTTGATCTCAAAGTTGTGGTTCTGCACTGGTGGTGGAACAATCCCTTGTCTCTGTTGGTGGCGGTTTGGAGCATCTCCTTGACCAATCGGTCGAGTTTGCCTAGCTCGACCGAGTCCATTGCCCAAAGGGTTTCCATTCCCCTCTGGTACATCCATTGTATCAGCAACAAGCACCTCAGGTTCCTCTTGTACCCTCTGTGACCTCTGAACCCTCTTTCTACCCGTTGTAATGTCTAGCTCGACCAAGTCTTCAGTTAGACCGACTCGATCGAGTTCGCATACACCTGCAAAAAGAGACAAAAACCCAGCAGTACAATAGAACAGGGGTGGTATAGCTTGATCGTCCAAGTGTGTTTGAAACTCAAATGCAACAAAAATATTCCCAAATCGGCAACGGCGCCAAATTGATGATAGGATTTGTGTGTGGATGTGAAAAGATATGAAATGAGATGAGTGGAATGCAATCAGTGGTATATGATGAGGTGGTAAGATGCAAACACAAACACAGTCAACAATTCCCTTTAACCATGATAGTTGATGTAGTACAAAGGGTTATCAATCCAAAATGGGAAACTTGTCACTCTATGAGAATATGAAACAACCAGAAAGTCAAGCAAGCAGTTATAGATTTGAAGTAACACTAACAACCTAAAAAAATGAAAAGCAGTGCAATAAAAGTAAACAAAGCAGTGAAGTGTCAGCTCGACCAAGAGCTCGAGTCGAGTCAGAGCAAAGTACCAGCTCGATCGAGTTTAGGGACGAGTTGAGACAAACAAAGCTAAAGGTGACGACTTTAACAAGATAAAGAGAGAATTAGGGTTCAAGACAGGGTTTTGCAATCAAAGGAATCTACACTTAATCAATCTAGCTCTTAAAACTCCTTGTATCAAGGCTTCTCTTGATATTGGGCTTCTCAATGCCTAGCCAACCCTTTCCCAAGGTGAGGCTATCAACCAAGGAATGATCTCAGAAACAGGGGGTTAGCCAGTGAGAATCAAACCTTGGAGGCTATAGGATCATTGCCCAAACTAATCCATCCAACCCCTTAGACCTCTATTGTCTAGAGCAAGAGATATTGGAGCTCTTAGTGGATCTTTTCCAGCGAATGCCATCACTTTCGTGTGGGGAGTCGCCTAAGGACTTACAAGCCAGGGGTAGTGGTCATGTAGCCTTAAGATCTATCCAAAAGAGAGAGAATCTAGATTAAGACCATAAGCTAGAAGGATTAAGCATATGAAACCTCTAATCTATCCCATCTCAAACCCTAATGGGTAACTACTCACTACACATGAATGTAAACACAAGCAAATGCAATAAAAGAGACATCATAAGAAAGAGGAGATGAAATTAAACAACTTTTATTGAAATAAGCAAGTGCAAATACAAAGAGATTATCCAGGATCTAGGATTCAAGAAGCAAGAGCTTCAAGAACACAAAGATGGGATTAGATCTCTAAAAAGTAAAAGACAATAAATTAAAAGAAACTAAAACAAAATAATCTAAAGCTTGGTGGTTTTTTCGTGGCTTAGAGCCTTTAAATACAAGAGGATTAGGTTTAGGGTCAAAGGAAAGTCAAGGGGGAAGCAACATTTTTCGGGTTTGACTTTGACTTCTCAGCTCGATCGAGTTGAAGCTTGGCCGGTCGAGTTGAGGAACTCGACCGGTTGGTCGAGTGGACGGTCGAGCTGGTCTTCAAGATGGCTTCTCCCTTCTTCCTTTGCGTATCCAGTTGAGCTGCTTCCATGTGCCAAGTCCCTCCATGCTCCTTGTCCCATATGCTCCAGAATGCTCCAAAAGACCTATTTCAAAGGACCAAACATGCATATGTATGCAAATGCAACCTAAAACTAACATGAATGCATAAGAAGAGAAAAGGAACAAGATATGATGCAAATGGAAGCTAAAACTATGCAAAAGATGCATAAAAGATGTGCTAAAACTATGTAAAATGCAAGTACATCAGTATCCCACAAAGAGAAATCTTAAGGGAAGGAGAATCGATAGAAACAATAAAATGATACCCTAGAAAAGTAGGGAAAAATCGATTCTTCAATGATAAGAGAGAAGGAGAGAGGTTTGGTACTGAATGAGCAAGAAGGACTATCTTGGCAAAGAGTTGGATGGGTAAGAATCAATGCCTTGTGATCGATACTCCCTTGATAAAGACCACACACTTTAAATACTGCAAGGAGTTAGCAATAGAGAGTTTGGAATACTGGATGAGATTTGTTGGGTCCGGTATGGTTTGCTAACCTCAAGGTCAGTACGTGATAGCCAGTTTCAAAGTTGGGTTGTCCCAAAGAGAGCAGAGCAATGGGAGATACAAGTTCCAAAAACTAAGTTTGTTTTCGTGTTTTCAAAACCTCTTCACTAGTTTAGATTTGATTTGCTTGAGGACAAGCAAAGATCTAAGTCTGGGAGAGTTGATATACCTCTATTTTACATGCTTTTTATGCTATTTTACTATGGTTTTCTAGTGGATTCTTGTGTTAAAAGGTAGTTCTATGGATTTATACTGCAAAGAGTCATTTTAGGTAAAAAGGTGCATTATGGAGCAAAACAGAGGATTTGGACTTCAAACCAGTCCAATGCCACTGCATCAACTTTGGAGGGAGCTAAACAAAGATCTACTCTATGGATTTCATCAAGACCGGTTCCCTGCGTGCTCTGATTAAGTTAACTTTCCAACGCAAGTGGAACGGCCTGATTTGGATGAGTAGAAAAGGAGTTATAGCCGAAATAGTGAAGACTGTCCAGGCGGCTCTATCGAGGAACCGCGGCCAAGCCGTGCAGAGCGGCCGGCCGAGGAACGAATGTTCCGCGGTCGGCCAAATTCAAATCCATCCGTCTAAAGCCTCGGCCAAAGTTAAATTCATCCGGCTGAGTACGCATCACGACCCGGGAAGCAATGTCCCGCAGTCGGGCAAGCCACGACCACTCACGACAGTGCCGCGCACGACCATGCCGCGCGAGCCGGGAAGCAACGCCTTGCGGCTGCGCGACCTAACTCGCGTACCACGGCCGATGGCGCCGTCCGAGCCGGGAAGCCATGTCCCGCGTCCGGCCGAGAAGCATGGACCGATCCTTCACTCGTCCGACCACAGCGGCCGACCGAGAAACTGTCCGGCCACTACCGCTCCGATCACGACCACGACCCGATTGTCCGGCCGACCGTCCCGACCGACTGTCCGAATGCTGTGGTCGACCTGAAGCCGTTTTTGAAGTCCAATCCGCACAATTCAAGCCCAAAGCCGGCGCCGACTTAGCAAGATTAGGTCTAGCCGCTTTTTCAAAAAAATCACAGTTTTAATATAAACATTATAGATTTAGATCAGTACCAAATGTCTAAGACTAAGGTGGTGATACCATAGTAGTAATGACAGAAACTAAACACATAATTACAAAAGTCTGACGATATAAGAAAACAACATTCTGAAACATTATACATCACACAAGCAAGACGTCCATAGCTGATTTGGTTCCTTCACATTACCTCTCTGAAATAGCTCGTCACCACGAGAAGAACCGTCACTATCGCTCATATACTCACCGTTCATCCTCCAGCTGATAATATTAGTAAATTTTAACTCGTGTTTATCTAAGAGCAGCAACATATTATATCTCATAAGGTTAAAAACAGAGACGTAAAAGGGTTAAAGAAACTAAGGTCTCCTCAGCGAATTTGTATGCATCCAAATTCAAGCTCCACTATGGATTGAAATCGAACGACGAAATCTTCCCAGCATTTTCAACGTTTATACCGGCAACTACATCGGAGACAAAATATGTGTCACTGATACTTTTGATTATGTGAGATAATGTTTTGCAACGAACATAATATTATTATTTTTTTCTATCTCTATAAAATGATTTTGACAATTACCATGGTGAATGTCGATTCTCCAATTGTGTAAAGCACAGACAGAATCCAAATGGCGGCCGTGGAGCCCTCTATCGTAAAACATATCCGCGAGCTCTCTTTTAACACGACACATTATCTCTTTATCTCTAACTTTTACCATAAAAAGGATAAAGGAGTTTATCAAACCATTATATTTGGACCGCAAGCGTATGAACATAATAAATAAAGTATACCACTTACTCAACACAAGATGTTAACTTCGGCGATCAGTTTTCATCAGCACGGACGATGTAATTATCAATCATGATGTAGAGAGGTTTGACATAATTTATCTTGCCTATCAAGTCTGAAGAATACCGATAATCAAAAATTAACAACAAAACGATAAAAGAGTCCTTACGAACGTAATTGATATGAATATAATGTTTGTAAACCTGACCAAATCCATCGGCTGATATTCCTCTGGATCTACACCTGGAGAGATCCCGGTTCCATCTATGAGGACAATTCTCGCTTTGATCTTGGTCAAACGTCTCTCAGATTGGTCAATCAGAACGGTGAAGTTGAAAATCACCTTCCAGCAATGAAGGTTTAGAGATCGTTCGAATCTCTCTCTCCTCATAGAGTCACTGGTGGATGCAACAATTTTTTTCCCCTTGGTTAAAGGAGAGACGAATTAATCTCATATCCATTTCTGTAAATCTATTCAAAGATCATGCAACAACTCCAAGAATGGACATACCTCTGCATTCGTGAGTAGAAAATTGACATTCACCAAACCGTCAGACTCAAACGACTCCCATGTCTTAACCACATTCACACAGATGCACCAATTCGTCCTCTCCGATGTCAGATCGCTAATTTTGTCAGACGCTGCCAATCCTGCCATCGCAATATCAGTCTAAGTTCTGGTAAGAAAATTATGCAATGACTCTCTTTTTTGAAATCGGTGTGGAATACGAAGATTTTTAATAGTGTAGTGGATGCTACGAATTGAAAACACATTAAACCGCCAATGGGTAAATATTTTCATGTCAGACTGCTCAGCGAATATTTCGACTTTTCATAAAACTTTTGCTGTTCGATATAATTCATAGGTTGTGATGATTTTATATTTGAATATAATTCTTACTAAATCCATAACGTTTAACTAAAAATGATTTATAACACACTTCATCTCACTATTTGATGTCCGAATGTTCAATTGTTTGATTATAAAGTGTCACTTATGTATAACCATAACGAAAAAATATATATAAGAACGTACATGGTCTTATACACGTTACACATAACAACTAAACTATGCATGCATAAACCTAATTTATCATTATCTGTTAGAAGATAAGTCTTGAAAAGGCACATCAAACTGTCAGGCAAGAATAGTCTGAACAGTCTAAGTGGTTGTGTTTGCAAAAATCAAAACTAATTTACTCATTGCAAAAGGACAAACATATTCAAACACTTGATATCAAAACTAATATAATCTAAAAGCACCAAACTAACACCTACAATTTGGCAATCAAAAATAATAACGGTTAAAAATGGCTAAACATTGAACAAATGTAATATAAGTCACTCTCCTTATATACACAATCTTCACAAGCACAATTTAGTTAAGACATGCTTTATTATTCACAGTTTACAATTACAAATCACGTTTTCGTTGAAACCACCAAGTTTTCCGATACCGGGTTTAAACGTCACTTGCACCGTCCGTTTACGCGACGACATCGCCGAACTCGAACAACAATATAATATACACAGACTAATAACGACAAATTAAATATAGGAATATACTGATAAAGACGATCGTGCAGTAAACGCGAGTGAACAACACCCATCCAGAAGAAACGAAATTGGAAAGACCACTTTATACAACAGAATCGATAAAGACTCAATCCAAAGTGAATCGTAACTGCCATATCTTCAAACAGATATAGCTCCATCGACGGCGATTAGTATCGGAACAGAAAACCAAAGCAAAACATGTATTCTTTTAGACACGTATCCAGAAACATCGATCCACGTGAGTGCGTTACACAGCTATGTAAGACTATTATAACAAACAAATTTGCAAAAAATATGAAAACATGTGTAAAAAATAATAAGAAAAACTAAAATGCGACGTCGAACGGTTACACATAATATAATATATGATTTAGATATAATAACTAATATGAAACGAATATAATTTTACGGCGGAGGTAAACTCACTTTTTTAGAAACGGAATTGACGGGCGAACTGAATCAAATAACACTTATCATATATGAGAAACACAAAATAGACCTATACCAATCACAAACACAATTAATAACGCAAAACAATGTTAAAGATAAACCACGATTAAAATATATAATTTATGGATATACTATCAAAGGAAATAGCGCACTTGCATGAAGACAAAACTTACGTCTCGGTTGATGATCATGTAATAGACTAACGAATTTCAGAGTTTAGCCAATCATACCAAATACAGAACAAACTAATATGCCGTCCAGATATATAATGTGCTGCATAAATATAAAAAAATGATAATATTGGTGATAAAAATGTGTTGCTTACCCAATAAACGATCGCATTAAACTGTGTTACGATGAAATAACACTGGTGAGTCTCCATGTAGATAGATAAACAACCAATATATACACAAAATATGAGAACACAAAAATATAGCAAGAATCATCAAATCTAACTGTAGACGATATGGATGCCACCTGAAGCATATATATATATATA